GGTCCAAACATGACACCCTGCTGAAGGTGGCACTTGGCGTACACCTTCATCTCCCCAATCTGCTCCTCGCCCAAAGATCCAGATAGTCCAGACCCGAGGTCCCCACAGAGGCACAGGCAGGAAGGCAGAGACAGCGCCGCCCGGGAAGGGCCGCTGTGGAGCCACGGGTCTCCGGGCGGCAACACCGCATCTGGGACATAGTTCTGGTTGGAAGTAGGCTGGAGCGAGGGAACATCCTCAAAGAACTCTTCATTGTTGAGATCCAAACCTGGAAAAAGAATATAATAGAGAAATAATGAAATAACAGAGATATTACTGAAAATTCAGGGCCGGGATTCATCTTCACGGAGCATAGTTCCACTTTCTCGGGTCGTTTTAAGCAACAGAATTCAGAAAGACAGGAAGCTGCTGTTACAGATGAGGGGAATAACACAATACAGACCAACTTTAATGTCTGTATTACAGGCAGCCACCAGTGCTAGCCCGCGGTCTCCTAGCAGATGCACATATGATATGTTTATTGTACAAATTTGAAAAGAAAAGGTGATTTTCAGAAACGTTGACCTCTGACCTTCAAGTCAAAGTCGCTGGGATTTGAACTCGATATTTAATAGATGCACCCATGGTATCAATTTGAAAGTTTTACCTCATTCTCGAGTTATCATATTGACAAACTTGCGTGTCCGAACCACCCGCCCGCCCGCCGGGGTAACAGCAACGCTCCCAGCAACCAGGAAGAACAGTCACCATTAAATCTGTGTTCAGTACGTAAAGTGAGATCTTACCAATAATTCTGCAGATCAGGTCTACTTTTATTTAATCTTTCCCCCTCCTTTTAATCACTTTTCATTTTGTTCTCTTTATTTGGATTCGATGATCTTCAGTCAGATCACGCTGAGTGTTTTTTTGTCTTGTCTTTTCCCACCAGCCCATCCTGAAGCCTGCAGAGTGAAATAAGCCTGTAAAGGCACTAAAAAAGAAATGCTGTCACCGGTGGCTCTTGCAGCATCAGGGTCGACCATAACAGAAGCTTTAAGTTTAACTTTCGAGGTGGTGTCTACTCAAACTATCATCACTGAAATAATGAAGCCACTGCACCGCTGCTGCAAAGACAGTGTGCTCACATGAACTTCTGACAGCAGTACCGACCTGTCAGGCCCTGCTGGGCTGTCTGAATCGCTCTGTGGTAATATCACGCTCTGCTGCTCACGGCTGCAGAGGAATGGGGTCAGGTGACTTAATAAAATTGTATTTGAGTGATTCCCCAAGCCTCGGCGTATCTGTGCACGCTGTGAGCCCAGGGCCACGCAGATGGTGGACAGTGTGACCGCAGTGTGATCGATTCTGGCTCGCATGATTGATGTTCACACGTGCAGGCCAACACTGAGCCCATATAATTAAGTCCTGCAGGGAGAGTCTAGCCATAACCTCTGAGCTGATTAACTCTGAGACGGGATGCTCAGAGTTTCCAGTTGCACAACAGCTGATCGCAGTTCAATACGCTCTGCGCGTGCTCACCCCGAGTTATGAAAGAAAGCCATCATCAGTTGGTAAAGCAACAAGAAAATGAAGAACAGAGCCTCCATTTTAATCTGACAGAGCAAGGATTACGAACAGGACCAGGACAGTTATCTTCAAAAACATGAGAGGCGAAGAGACTCCTTTTAGTCAGTGTTATCCAATAAGTTGTCTTTTACCTAGATCGTTTTTTTAAAATAGATAAAACTGACAGGGGCAAAATACAGGTAAAGCTGAAGATAACGTGGATCAAACCGATCTGACACAGTTTAGTCATGCACCTCCAAAGCACTCTGCAACAGTCTTGAGCCGACAGTTTTTATATTGTGCTTCAAAAGAGGCAGATTGTGTAGTGAGTTACACATTCATCTATCAAGCAAGAGATCCCTGGTTTGAGCACAGGTGGAGACACAAATCCCATTGGGGTTGCATCTGGCATCAAAATCTGCAAACTCGAATACCCAGAGCTACAAGCTGTGTCAGTAAGAGGGCAGGTGAAAGGAGCGTTTGGCCTAAAAGAAAAAGGTCTGATGAAGTGATGAAAGCAAGTTATAAAATGTTTGGATCAAATGTTTTCCAATATGTACAGAGGAGTTAAACAAGTGTATACGGGCATCTGTAAAACACAGTGGAGGCTCTATCATGGCTCGGGGCTGCATTTCACTGAGTGATGTCATAAAAGTACCATTGGATTTTGGTCCATCATGCAATACCATCTAAAAAGCATCTGAAGAATAAAGCTGCTGTCAGTGATTCCCAAACAAAGTGCTGTAAAAGTATATCTGGATAGAAAAGAACATAGTGGAACACCTCACCAGAGCCTGAACCTTAACATTACTGAAACAGTGAGAGAGGGGTCTATTTTTATTAGTATTTTTTCCTCATATGGGAGGTTTTTTGTTTTGTTTTTAGAGGGGCGGCTTAACACCTTTTAGAAAAATTGCTTGTGGGCAGTGGGAGTTACACGGAACACAAACGCAGTCTTTCTCAACGTGCATGAAACAGTGGTTATGGATACAAGCGGTTTATACTATGGCATCAACTGCGCATGTGTGACTGGATAGCTATTCGTCATTTATTGCAGGACTTCCTGATGTAAAAACACACCGCTGTGCGTAGAATATGGTAGTTTATTCGGCGCGTACGGTATAAAATAAATGCGCATTATCTGAGCCAAGTAGCATCCGGGTAATGATCGATCTGTTGTTTAGAAAAGCTACCAGATTGTGAGTGTGCACAGGCGCAGTACTAAACACACACGGTTTGCAAGTTAACTGTAAAAAAGCTGCACAGTAAATCAGCGTCGGGGCTCAGGGACTATTTTGTTGTCACAGTACTAAAATGCAACTTTCAAGCAACCCCAGGTGAGCCATGTGAGCAGCCATGTCTGATCGGCTTTGCTGGGCTGGAAGCATGCAGGGTTCAGACATGTGAGAAAAGAAGTTAATGCATACTTTGAAATTCCACAAGTTTTCAATGAAGAAATAATTTTAGGTTTAAAAAAGATCACCTTGAGTGTCAAGTAAAGCTCCCGAGGTCGCGGAGGAAATGGTCTCAAAGAAATCAGCACGATGTCGCCTCTTCAGGTGGCTTCTTAAATTAGTAGTGTTTCCACCCTTTGCCAGCACTATTTTTCGGCACAGGCGACAAACGGCCTCACCGGTGTTTAAAGGTCGCCCCTTTTCATCCGCCTTTAAGCCAAAATACAGCCACACGATGGACTTGCTTCTGGGTTTACTGATAAGATCCATGTTTCTGTAGCTCTGCAGCCTGCAGCCCCGCTACCAGATCTGCGATGCATAGACAGGAAAACTACACCACCAGATTACATGCAACGCTCTTGTACTGCACAGATTCAGGTCAATGACGGCGAAAACCTTCTTTCTAAAAGTAAAAGCAGCAGATACCAATCAATATCTAAAAAGTTCCTGACTGCAGGCCTGTGTACGACACGTTGTTGGTTTTTTTTTAATAAATCACTTCCCTTCAAAGATGTGAAAAAAATCTCACAGCTCTCAGTTTGGTTTTAAAATGAGAAACCGGTCAAAGAGCGTCCACAGCTTTTGTTTAAACACACACAGAACTGCAGCCAGTGGGACCGCATGGCCTTCTACCTGCTCTATTTCTAGGCTTTTTACGTCTTTCTCTGTAGACTGACGACAGCACACTGCGACGGCCGAGTGTTGCCACATCTTGTTCTCAACACGCCGGCAAAAAACACCGACTGCTTATAAAGATAAACACAGTCTGATCCACAAACTTCGGAAAAGGTAAGGAGAAAAACAGCTATCAAAGCCAGCGTAAAGGTAAAAGTGTGTGTGTGTGTAAAGCGGGCAGCTGCACAAGGGTACCAGAAACCCAGGAGTCCTGAGGACCAGTGCTGCAGACATGGGCTATGCTTGACCTGATGCTGTCCTGCTACAGGATTTCTTTTTTACCTGATATTGCCATTGCATGCTACAAATTATCAAATGTTGACACACATAAAAATAGAACTATCCATGTAATTTTATTTCATGTATTATGTTAGTACTTGTTAGATTCTGGAGCTTCTGATAAAAGGTAGACGTTTTATTTATATAGTGCCACAACAACAACAGTTGCCTCGTATGGTTAAGACCCTATAATAATACAGAGAAACCCCAACAATCAGACGACATATGAGCAAGCACTTTGGCGACAGTAGGTAGGAAAAACTCCCTTTAGACAGGAAGAAATGTCCAGCAGAACCAGGCTCAGGGAGGGCCAGTCATCTGGTTGGGGCTGAGGGGAGGGAGACAGGACAAAAAAACATGCTTTGGAAGAGAGCCAAAGATCAATAATAACTCATAATTATGTGCAGAGTGGTGTATAAACACACGGTGAGAGTAAAAGATTTTTTTAATGGTTTGTGCAGAAGAGAAAAAAACTGAAATATGCACAAAGTTTACAGAGAAAACAAAGTTTTTCGCAAGATATTTCCTCCCATGCTATATTATGATGATGATGATGGTAGGAAGCACCATCTCCTTGGTTCAAAATCGGCTAAAGTGCTCAGCTAGGGTGAGATCTGGCGAAAGCTGCAGCATATGATTGACGGGTTGAAATAAAAACTGTTGTAGCTCACCAATGTCTTTAGTGAAACCAGCTTTCTCTTGATTGGCTAATTTGAAAGCGGGTGGGTGGGGTTTCCTGACATGACCTATTAGAAATATTGACTGTCCTTGTCATCACACAGAGCTGGGAATAGAAAAACCCACAGAAACCAAGCACTTTGACAGGTTTAAAGCCTTGTGGATTACAAGGGTCAGCTACACTTTTTTCAATATGAATACCCATCATGACAACAGATCTATTTATCATCCATCCATCTATTTTCTTCCTCTCTCTCGCTCTGTGTGTGTGTGTTAGGCCCCATTAGGCATTTAATATTACTCGGGCAAACTAAATGAGAGGCAGCAGAAACCCTACGTGAAACCGTAAAATCTGGCAACCCCGGCAGCTGTGGCCGGCCTCCCTGCCTGCGTTGGATGTTAGCTGTGGTCGATCTGACTGAACCCAAACATCACCCCCAAAGCGGGTACGCCAGGTAGGTAAGCACCATACCCCACTGCTGACAGTTGTAGCGTTTAAATTTTGGGACCGGGGGCACACAATATTTTTTCTATTCACGTTTCAAACACTGACTTCGCCAAACTTGCTTTGTTTTCCTGGGGTTATTTTCTGGCGGCTAGCACTTAGCTGATAGGTAGC